CTTTCTTTCTTTCTTTCTTTCTTTCTTTCTTTCTTTCTTTCTTTCTTTCTTTCTTTCTGTGGGAAGGAACCTTTGTAATTAAAGAGCTACATTCACAACCCAGTTACCAGAAATTTCCCCTTTCCCTTGAGACAATACAATGTTTAATTACATATTTAGTTGCAGATTAACTTATTGTTAACTTATTGATGATTATAATGAATCATTCCAATACTTAATGTCATAAAAATAACACTTTATTTTAAAATCTTCTAGTTCAGCTGAATTTCTGGGTGTCTTTTTTTTTAATGAATATGTGTTTGTATGTATGAGGCTAGGAATAGAACCAGAGTTTCCACACTTGCTAAGCAAGTGCTTTACCATAAGCTACAGTCCCAGCCATACAATTTTTTGCTTGAATTTGTTCACATATCCAAAAGTTAGGTAGGGATTGGCTATGCTATGCTATTACTGGCTGAGGACATTGGGTTATACTTTAATGTCCTTCCTTTTGGGACCAGCAAGCATGTTCTTCTCAGAGCAGTGCTGGAAATGCAAGCTAGTAATCATTAAATATTGTTTGATCCAAAGAAAACTCATGAATGAACCCAAGCCAAAAGCTGGGAAAATATACTAACCTCGTGATGGAAAATATTGCAAAATCATATTCAAAAGAATTCTATCAAGAAATAGTGGAGAACTGGAATTGTGCATGCACCCAACAGATAGCAAGTATAACATGCATATTTCCCCCACATTGTAGGTCTAGGCTCCGCAATAGAAGTTTCGATTCCAGCTGCTCTTCATTGGATGCCTGGTAGAGTGTTTACTATGTAGCACCTCAGGCCATATTACATAAAGAACAGATACTGACAAATGCTGGGATAAGATCTGGAGCCTGGAGTTCCAAAGGGAGTGGATTTTCCTGATACCAGCAGAGAGTATAAGTGGTCAATTCCCAAAGAAATCAGGTCCTGGAAGAGAGTGCTCAAACCAGAAAGGGCTAATCAGCATGCGATTCAAGTAGAAAGTAAAGAAACAAGTTTATTTTAGAAACCAGGCTCCCTTTGTATTCAGCTTTCTTCTACTTTGTCTATGAGGAAGATATCAGTAGAAAACTCTTTCCTCTGTAGGAAATGATTCTCCTTTAGGGGAGATGTTAACTTCAAGATTTATACAAAATAGACTGTGCATGACAAGGCCATCTTGTCTAACCTTCGGCATCACTGTGAGTCCTGAGCAGGCCGAAGCATTGGATCAAACAGTAGCAGGTGCGCGCTCTCAGACAGCAAGAAGAGCAGAAACTGGGAAAATGAAGCGTGAGGATACTCATATTCAAAATACAAGATATGGGAGTGGTGTAGTGCTTGCCTAGCATGCCTGAGGACCCAGTGCCATCCCAAAAATCAGATACATACATTAATGAAAGCAATTATGTGAGCCAGAAGAGGAATAGTCAGAATTGGCAGGGTAATATCAAGTCAATATATGGCCATCAAATCCAGAGACATGGAGAACTATTGAAAGGAGAATCTAGTGTGTGTGTGTGTGTGTGTGTGTGTGTGTGTGTGTGTGTGTGTGTG